AAAAAAAAAAAAAAAAAAAGAGTTTAATAGTGGTTAAGGATTTATTATAAATGGTGTCTTAGATTTGCAGAATCAGAATAATATATGTATGAACTGAGGTTTTTAATTCCAGGTGAGAGTAAATTAGGATTCAATCTTTCAAAAATATTTTGCCACTAATAATACTGATTTGAGGGGCTGGGGAGATGGCTCAGTAGAATAAGTGCTTCCCTAGCAAGCACAAGGGTCTGAGTTCAATCCCCATTCTGCCAATAATAAAAATAATAAAAATAATAATAATAATACTGATCTGAAATATCATGAAAGGCTTCCTGTAAAAAAAAAAAATCTGGAGTCTTACTTTTCTTATCTATAACACAGGAGTGGAAGTCTCTGTCATAGATACCAGACAATCAAAGTAAATAATCTTTGGAGAGATTTGCTGCCTGTGGCCACAGTGGTTGCCGCAGGTGCACCAGCAAAAGCTCTTTCGAAGGAGCTGGGAACTGAGGCTTAGAGGAGTCAGGTGGGCTCCGTGCCCCTCATCCTATCCCGCGACTAGACCTCTAGCCTGTCTTCAGGGTGTTCTGCCACAGGGTTCCACACCAGGCCTGTCTGATGGAGGAATTTCCACAGACACACCAGGCCTGGGCGCTGGCTAGAGTGAGGGTCCCACGACCGCTGCCATGGCCCTGAGTGTGCATATGCGCACTGCCGAGTGGAGAGGCGCCAGTGACCCAGAAGGTGGTGTCCCAACCTCAGCCTGGGGCCTGGCCCCCAGCCTCGCAGTCTCGCTGATTCTGGCGAGCAGGTGGAGGGCTGAAGTTGCAGGAAGATGGCTACTCTAATCTGCTACAGAATAAAGATTCTCTTCAATTTGAAGACAAGTGGGATTTTACGCGCCCAATTTATTTGAAGCTTTTACACCAGGAAGCTGGCACAAAACAACAATGGTTTTATCTGTTTTCCCAGTATTGAGCCATCAAGATGACACGGTTTTGCTAAAACCATATATTGTTGAATGGCAGAAATTCTTTACACGGTGTGATATTTTACCATAACCCTTTTTTTAAAAAAAAAAATTATTTATTTGTGTGTGTGTGTGTGTGTGTGTGTGTGTGTGTGTAGCCAGCTCAGCCCACCAGGGGGCGGGGCTGGCTGGCTTGTGGTGCTGGGGGATTGAACCAAGGTCCCTGTGCTTTGCAAAGCTTGTTCTAAGTAGGTGCTTTGGACCACTGAGCCATCTCTCCAGCCCCACAAAACCCTTTTGTCAACTAGAGATTACTATAATGGGTAAACAGGGCAGCAATAAGAAAAAAAAATGTGGAAGATAGTATTGTGTGAAAGATCATGCTTGATACATGGAATGAATCCATTTTTTTAGTATATTTTTTATTTATCTTCATTAATAATAGATTGCACATTGTAAAAACATTATTTACAAACTTAAATGAATATAGCAATAAAATTATCTAAAATAAACATGAAAACTCTGGTACTCAATGTTTTTCTTTGCACTGACTCTACATTACTTCTCAAATTTGACTCTCAGAATTGCTTATGAGTAATGTTGTAAGAGAAGGTGATTACTTGGATACAACATTATAAAAAGATTAAACATAAATAAGATATAAAATTTTTTACCTCTTTTGGTTATATTACTTGTTTTCTATTACTCCATAAGTAATTAAGTTACTATATACAGTACCATGACTGTCTTAGAACTAAAAATCTAAAACTTCTGCCAGAGTAAAATTCAAACTTTGTCAAGTAATAGTGAGTGAATACAAAGACACGGTAAGACAAATCCTCATTAGGGTGATGGGATGGAAGAGTAGGTAATACTACAACACTATGTAAAAATCTTTGAATTAAAGTTAACAATTTCAGAAAAAAAAAGAAAGGCACATTAGTCACATAATGTCTCATATTAAGGAGTGAAATAGGCATAGTAACTCACTTGTACTACTAATATTCAGAACCTCACAAAGTCTTATTCTATGAGTGTTTCTCTGGAGAAATGTACACAAATAATGTATTTATCAACCTGCAAAAACAGTTATCCGGTGTTTCATTCTGTGTTGTGTCTGTTCTTATACCCATATGTGTGTATCTATCTAAACATGTGCATATGTAAAACTGTTAAGTATAAAAATTAAATGCTCATAAAGAATAAAAAAAATAAAATAAAATAAACATGAAGAGTTTATAAATCAGTCATATAATAGTTCATTCTGTGCCAAAATCAAGAAAATTATATTCAAATAATTAGAATTCCTAAGTAGAAGGAGGTAGGCAATAAATATTTAAAGATTTAAAATTTCTGAATTTAGTTAAAACTATTACACTGCATTTCTAAGAAAAACAAACCTTTTGCACAAGAAATTTGAATAATATCATGCCAAGATACACAAAAATGAAATTGTCCAAAACTAATTGTTAAGAAAAAAATAATTAAAGCATATACATAAAAATATTAGCTATGAAAGAACAAAATTAAATAGCATCTTATTCCACATTCAGAAATTTTAAAAAAGCAAGTAGGTAAGGAACTAGACTTATTTATTCAAAGGACTGAAAAAAAAGATCTGTCCTCTTTGAATTTTATACTTAGCAAACATACCTTTGAAAACTAAAAGTAAATTATTTTCCAGTTATACAAACTCAAAATAGTCTAATATCTCTAGGTGTAGCATATGCAAAATAACAAAGAGCATAATTCAGAAGGCAAGAGAAGTTGCTGTATGGTCCTGGATAAAGAATAAAGACCTCTCAAAATGATAGTTATTGCAGGACTACATAAAATATATTAGATGAACCCATTTAAAGGTCAAAGATTTTGACGAAAAAGTATCAATCTTATATTGGGTTATACACATTGTTTTCGTGTGTGTGTGTGTGTGTGTGTGTGTGTGTGTGTGTAGGTGTGTGTGTGCAAAAGACAAGGAAGAAGTAATATAAAGCCAATGGAAAATGGAAATACAAAAAGTTCTAATATGTGGTGGACATGGACAGTGTCCATGATGTTTACTCGTGGCCATGTGTCATTTGTGGGACTGAGCCACTATTTCCTTCATATCTACCCTGTAGACCCAGACAGAATCATGACCCATTGGGTGCGGGAGAAGTCCATTTGTAGAGTATGCTTATGAAAATATTTTGCTGCTGTATACAAAAGAATAACTGAAAGACTGCTTTTGTGTGCTTCTTTTTCTCCTGTATTTAATTGTTTGCCCTACTTGGTGGGTTCTTTCCATTCTCATTCATGGAGTAGTGGTCCTTTTGATCCCTTTCTAGAATATCTTTTATTAGACTGTGTAGGGTTGGCCTTGTCATCATGAAAGTCTTTTGTTATTCTTTGTCATTGAAATATTTCACTTCACCTTTAAACTTGAGAGTTTTGTAGGGTGTATCAGTCTGGGTTGAAATTTAGTTTCTTGTAAGACT